AGTAAATGAGAGCTATCTTTTTAAGGTGGTATTAATTACTTTACTGAAAATGGGGGAAGGGAATGTCATCTCCAAATTTTTAGAAGATGGAATGATAATTTTAAAGACGTCAGCAATATGGCACTGTATTTATCTGTTCTTCAGTATGTTTCTCAATTCATTTGTGTGTTATTTCTCTGACATAAGCAAGGTGTTTACTAAGCACAGAGCCAAGGAGCTATGGAGGCCGAGTTGACTTCCAGCCTGCCTCAGGCAGCATCAGTGGACCTGCCAGATGCACCCTTACTCCAGGGTCCTAGTGTCAGAGAGGGCTGATGATCCACGGAACAGAAGGCACAACTTGCCCTCTTGTCATCAGGCTGAGCTCATCAGTGCTGCCAGCAGAAGAACACTGCACTGTTTTGTGAAGCTGGAGATCTTGGCACTCAGAGAGGTGATGTGCAACATGGGAATGTCATTTTCACTGAGATCTCTTTCCTGGTCACACCAGACTTAAAACCACTAAGAATATAAAACCATTTTCATTGTAGCCATTAAATAGAAAGTGAGAAAGTGATACCCAGTGGGTTAGAAATGAGTGGAGTACTCATTTCTTCATCCCATTTACATTTGCTGGAAGACTACAGAAGAAGGGTGTCATTTTAAACACCTTCTCTTCCAAGGGTGGCTCAATTCCCTAGGGAGAAGGTTTTAGCGAAGGTAAACTATTTTAACCTACTGTGATTCACTGGCTATTTACAACCTTAGCCTTAACTGTGTAGAGTGGGGGTTACTGGCTGTATTTGATAAATATGAATTATCTAGTTTTAGATGGGGAGTCTTCCAGGTGATGGAGAAGCTACAACTTCTTGAAACATGCAATATTTTATAACATACTTTCCAACGTGCATAGAATTATTTTTGAAAGCTATTTTAATTATGAGATTTTAAAAGACTTGTCAGGTACGTCTAGACAATGCATTTTCAAAAATCTGACATAATCAAGTACTGTTATAATATGCCAATGGGCTTTTGTGAATAAATACTGGTTTTATATGGTATTTTATAGTAGTCTGGATTATTAAGTAAATATATAAACTTAAAATAGACATTTGCTTTTTTAATCCTTTATTTTCTATTCACCCCTCTGTCTCTGTATCTATCAATCTATGGCCACGTAATAATATAACACTCATACAGATTGCAACTTTCAGAAAACCAGAATTATTCAACTACCATGTAGAAAACTTACTTTAATAAGGGAATGATGAGAATTCTAATTACTCATGAGAGAGCTCCTTTATTTATTTACTCAAGAACCATTTACTGAATGGCGTCAATATGAGAGAACGCAGGTGTCACAGGGGTGGGAACAAGAGGTACACAGTGGTTGGCTTTTTGGTGCTTGTGTTCTATTGCAGAGAAATGGATAGCAAACTACTAAAGGAAAAAGAAAATATAAAAATGTCAAATAGTGGTAAATGCTATTACAGGCATAACTGCATTTGCACTAGGGCACAGATGTGAAGGAGACAGCTATGGCATTTCTTAGAAACTGAGTATCTTTAAACATTTAATGACATGTTTAGAAATGTAAACATCATTACTGATGCACTGCCAATACCAACAGCAAGTTAGGTATTAGAAAACATGTAAGTGTGAAAGTCAAGTGTATTTAGAGTAAATTAACAAGCAGGAAACTGGAGTGCTAGTGCTGATGCCCACTAGGCACGGAACTTTGCTAACTTCATCTTGCAAAGACCCACCGGGCTTATGTGTAAAACAAGAATAAGGCCAGGTGTGGTGGCTCACGCTTGATATCCTAACACTTTGGGAGGCCGAGGCGGGTGGATCGCCTGAGTTCAGGAGTTCGAGACCAGGCTGGCCAACATGGTGAAACCCCGTCTCTACTAAAAATACAAAAATTAGCTGGGCACAGTGGTGGGCCGCTATAATCTGAGCTACTCGGGAGACTGAGGCAGGAGAATCACTTGACCCTGGCAGGCAGAAGTTACAGTGAGCTGAGATTGTGCCACTTCACTCCAGCCTGGGCAAAAGAGTGAAACTCTGTCTCAAAAAAACAAAAACAAAACGAAACAAAAAAGAATAACACCACTTGCTTTGCCAAATAGCTGTGATGTGAGAACGGTGAGTGAGCCCGAGCCTTGCACCTGCCCCGTTAGTCAGCATGTCTCAGAGGCCAAACGCACGTGAAGTCCACTTTGTCTCCTGTACCTTTCACTGTTAAGAAGGTTAGTTACCTTTTCTAGATGTCTCCTTGCTTCTTTCCTTTCTCAGATCCTCTGGTGCTACCACTAACTGATTATTCCTGAAGTTAGTTTTTAGATCTCAGAGAATGAAACTTAGAGCAGGAGTAAGCAAGGCACTAGCACTCCTCCAGCTAAAGAACTGGCAAGTAGTGCCAATTATGACAATTATTATCATCATTATATGGGAAACCGATCTCATCTTGGGTTATCTGCATTACCTGCTCTGTGTGAGAATAGACATATAGTCCTAAAATACAGCAAATGTGTACTAAAGAGGGAGAGATTGCACTGAGAGAGAAAAGATGCAATCGAAAGTCTCAAAGGCAAGAAAGAAAATGAGGACACAACGGGCCCAGGTCACCCAACTGTCACAGCCTCCGAGGACTGGACTGGTCTTTAAGTGAATCTCTTCTTCCGTCTCTAATGATATAAGGAGGTGTGGTATAGCTCCTTGGAGACAAAATGGGCAATGATGATTTCAAGTCAGCAGATTGACAGTCTGTTAAGTACTGACCCTAACTAGCTTAACTAGGTGAAGATGAGGAGACCAGGAGACCATAAGGACTAAGAAGGCTGGGGTAGGAATAAATAAAGATAGCATCATGACCATTTCTTTACCATATTCTAATCTGTGTCCTTTAGATGCTGCAAAAAGTCAAGAGAGCTGGGCAGAGAGCAAGAGGAAAGAAAAATTGAAGAGAAACAAGAGAAATGAACGTTCATGAAGTGATTTTGTGTGTTATCTTTCTGACTATCACCATGTGCCACATTTCTGCTACTTGGATGCTATGACTTTAGTCAGGCCATTTGCACAATTACAGTAAAGTGACCTCCAGTCCATGTCAGTCTATGACCCATGAATATTTACCAGGAGTGCAGGAACAGCCAGGCCAGGGTTCTGAGACTGGCGTGCTTCCTCGGGGCCAGACTGAGATGGAGAGCAGCGTAGCACAGACAGGTCTGTGATGGCTCCTCTCCTGGATGAACCATCCCAGCTCAGCTCCTCCAGAAACTTCACCCCAGGTAGGAATCTCATCCTGCCATTGCAGATCCACACCAGCTTTAGTAAAATGTGCCTTCTTCCTATATAGTGGGTGTCTTATCTGTAGTTTACAGATGTGAAGACTAAACTTCAAAAAGCGGAGAGATAAGTTAGGTTTGTATAGCTGGTTGGTGGCAAAGCTGGAATCTGACCATAGACATAGCCAACTCTAAAGCCTATATTTGTGACTACAGTGGCTAATCTGGAAAGTGTGCCAGGACCCCTCCCTGTGCACCGGCTGCTATCACAGTTGCTTGCAGCTCTCCACATTTCCGCACTTTAGTGACCATATGAAAAGAACAAAGAAAAACAGCAGAAAATGACATCATATTAAAATTAGGATCTACCACATTTAAATATTAACTTGCCTACTGAAGAACATTGCTGATAATTGAACAAGAATTAAAACTGTAATGGAGAACATTAGGGAAAGACAACAGTATTCATTATTTTTACTAAATGTGGGTATTTTGCTACTGCAAACACTTTTTTTTCTGAACTGATGAAGTTTCCCTAATTGTATATCTACCATGGAAGACCCATCAATGAACAACTAATGCTACTGCTCATTCATAGAAACAAACAAAATCTCACTTATTAAAACCAAGGCTGGTGAAAACATCCGTTAGTATGTATTTTTCAAGCAAGGAATTATTCGCGATTAACAAAACTACAATTCAAAAAGATGGCTAGTAACTGAATTCTTAAATTATTGGCAAAAAATTTAGCAGAAATGAGAGCTAAAGTTTATAACCAGGATTGCTAAATTAATTAATTCTATGTCTATTATAGCATTAATAGTCTAATAATTATGAGACTAATTCTATGTCTCAACCATTTGTGAGCTGGCTTAGTTCAAACAATAAATGATCAGCTAATTCACCTAAAATTCACACGTTGGCTTACTACTTATTGACATCAGTCCAAGTTGATCATTAGCAGTAAAAAATATTTTATGTTAATCATGTTTACAGAAGTCTGTGCTTGCACCTTCACATGCAAGAACAGACATGAGGTGCTTCATGGAAGGAAGTGTCAAAACACTTCCTGTTAAGCAAGGAATTATCCACGGTTAACAAAGGTGTATGGTCAAAACAAGGATCTTTCAGATTAAGCTAAAAACACTTAACAGAAAAATACTTAAAACAGAAAGTATTTAAGTAAAAATACTTAACAAAGATATATTCTTTTGCCAGATTTCCTCTGATAACTTTGCCTTCCAGTGTCATCTGCACTTATTTTCCATCAGACGAAAAGCCCTTCTGTTTCTCTCTCCCTCCCAATGGACTCCTTTCTCTTAAGAGTTGTAGGACAAGACTTCTGCCATGACTGGTCTTTTTATTTCTGTTCATGTTCTGTACGTGTCTCATACAACCAGGTTTGAAGTCAGTTTTCCTCTAGAGAACATTACTACAAGGAAAAAGCTGGATAAAAAATTGGCCATACTCACTGTCTCTACGAAGTGGATTTCATCATAACTCAATAACTGCTCTTTCTATATAGGGGGTATTGACTACTGTCTGCAAGTACAAAATAATCTGGGGCCCAATAACTGTTTTTGCAATTCATTGTGATATCTGACCTGCCTCTTGGTACAGGCACAGCGTCATCCTCAGAGGCAGTCGGTACTGAAAATGCATCACTACAGGTGCAAACAAGTGCTGACATTACATTTAAAAAACACATAATGGACTCAGGAAAATACATACCTGATTGCACTAGCAGATAAGTGGCCATAAGAGCCACTTGCTGAAGAGCTGCTACGGGAATTATTGAGAATCGTGACCAAAGAGTTGGGAGACGTCCTTATCATGGTCTGAAGGTCAAAGCTATGATCGGACAGTGGTGATATGGACAGTGTACGTTTTCGGCTCGGCCTGGCTGACAGCCTGGGGCTGGGGAATCTGGTGCCTGTTATATAAACAAAAAAGAACCTAATTAGCTGCAGTTGGACTCTATACCGGTTATTTATTGCTACTCTCCTATGTGAAGAAGTGAAGGATAAGAAGCTGGCAACTTGTGGTGACAAGCACCTCTCCTCCCCCATGTGATCTACTAGCTACAATTGAGGAAATTAGGGAGAAATATTTATCTTCCAGGGGCTTACCTCGGGGGAGCTCTGTTTATTAATGTGCAGGGAAAATGATAAATTGCTAAACAAAAGGGAGAGACTTTTATGTGTTATCCCTTTCATTTCTAGTGATTTATGAATCTGACGGCTGCTTAGATATTCCCATCATTAATTCACCACAAGCGACAAACACAGTGGTTCCCACAGTTGCAACGTACCACCCTTCCCACCCCAACACACACCATTTTAAGTCATGAGCCAAAGAAAGAAAATGAATTAAAGTATCCTAAGATAAAAAATTCAGCTCAGTTATGCCCTCAGCGCCCAGTGATTTCTAGAGTTACCTGCTCTATGGTATACTTAAAGCATTACTAAAACAACTTCTACATAATTACCCTGAATCAGTGCTTCTCAGTTGAGAGCAATTTTGCCCCTCCAAGGGACACCTGACAACATCAGAAGACATTCTGGTTTTCAGGGCTCAGCAGGTGCTACTGGAATCTAGAGGGTTGAGTCTAGGGATGCTGCAGAACATCCTATAATGTTCAGGGTCATTCTCCCCACAATGAAGAATTATCTGGCCCAAATATCGCTGAGATTGAGGACCTCTGCCTTACATTCCCCATAATCTAAGAGGATAAATCCCAAGAAACATTTAAAAGCTGGGGATGTTGCTTGTTTACAGATTTTCCAAGGCGGAGGAGAAACACTTGCAAGCATGATAATGAGGTACAATAATCCTATAGGGCATTTCAATTCTTCTCTGGACCTTGCTTCTCCAGTCAGATCCAATAAAGAGTGATACATTCATTAGAATTTTTAACCTTCAAGAAGATTCCACTGATGGAGTCTTAATCTGGAGTCCAAATCTGGAGGTGAGTAACTCAAACTTAAATGCACACCAACTTAATGCAATGGCTTCTTCCTAAAGAGTTCAAAATTAAATGCCAATTTGCATTCAAATTTGGTAGACATTCGAGATGTGAGTTTCAAGACACAGAGATGAATGTGGCCCACAGGTCCATTCTGCCTTTTTGAAGGTCACATTTACATTACAGAGTCACCAAACTAAAGTTTAATGAAAGAATGAGAACATAATCTTACCAGGTAGGAGGCAAACAAAACATGATTCGTTTTAAGTAAAATGAAGGGTTTCTAAGACCTCATAGAATGAGTATATCAGTTTATAGGAACATGGCAATTTTGCGGTACCAAGAAAAACTGAAGTAGTAGGTAATCTTTCTTTATTAAAAGAAAAAAAAAATGTCCAGGCTCTTGGTCTCCAGAAAATTCTCTGGGAATATTTTATTCAATAGAGATGGTTCTTGATACAAGATAACAATCCAACATGCTTAGAGATAATTTAATAAAATGGGACAGATGAATATGAAAGACTTTATTGCCAATACTACATAAATAATGGAAAAAAATCCACAAACTGAAATTTAGTAAGTTAGTGCCATCCACATATAAAACTTAAAAACCAACTTGAATGATAAATGTGGTACCTACTCAAATTTTTCTTTCAGGTACATCTAAAATGAGTTCCTTCATTTACAGTAGTTTCATTACCAGCCTGATTCACAGCATGTTAGTACAAAATAGCAATCCAAACGATGTACTTTTTTTTTTTTTTTTTTTTTGAGACTGAGTCTCACTCTGTTGCCAGACTGGAGTGCAGTGGCACAATCTTGGCTCACTGCAACTCTGCCTCCCGAGTTCAACTGATTCTTCTGCCTTACCCTCCCGGGTAGCTGGGACTACAGGGTTTTATTTTTAGTAGAGACGGGGTTTCACCATGTTGGCCATGGTGAAAGACGGACGGATCATGAGGTCTCAATCTCTTGACCTCGTGATCCACCCGTCTCGGCCTCCCAAAGTGCTGGGATTACAGGGGTGAGCCAATGCGCCCGGCCTGTGAATACTTTCAGGCATTTAAATCAGCATCTTACTTTTATAATGGCATCTGCCTTATTAAACACAACTCCTTCACATTTACTCACCATGAAAGGCTAATTTCATCATGGAAGTTTTTCAGTGAGGAAATACATGTCACTTCCAAGTAACTCCAAGGACAAACCAGATTTGTTGTCAACTTCCATATAATCCTGGACAATAACTGCCCTTCTCAATGGTACTCAGTGATCACTGGCAAAGTTAGAAGTGACAGCACATCCTAGACATCCTGTTAGAGTGGATATATCCCTAGAAAATCTCTAATGCTTTAGATCACTAATTGTGATGCAAAAGGAAGAAGCCCATTTGATGCTTTGAAATCCCTGGAGCCTTAGATCTCCCTCGCATCCTCCAAAGAGGGTGAGGGGCCTCTCAAGACCTTTCCACCCTTTCCATGAAACCATTTGGCTTGTTCACAGCCTGGCTAGAACCTTTCCTCTCTCTGTTTTTCCCTCCAAGACTGGCTCTTATTTAAGTCTATTTCCACCAATATAAATAATAGTCTTCAGGGACCCTCATCTCTAGAATGTTCCTTATAGGGAGTATTTGTTCTCATCTTCTAAGGTCACTCCCACCCTGAGAGGTAGAATTGGGACCATAAACAAACAGACTAGCTTATCCTAACAAGCTACATATAAACACTCTGTCTGACATCTTGCTGAAACCTAGATATGCCCACTATTTAAAAGTCAGGTGCTCACCTGAACCCAGTTTATTGAGGGCTGTGTTTATTAAGAAGTACTAAATATCCGTAGCAAGGGATCAGAGTGACCAGATAGATTCCAGGTTTCGATCTACCACTGCAGATGGACATCCACTGTAGGAATTTAGGATTAATGTTTCACTTCCTTGTTGGAAAAAAATATCCTATGGTCGAAATTTCTGGGCAATCTTCTTATATTCTAAATAAATAACTATTAACAAATGCTACTTCAATTACTTTAGAGGAAAAGAATATAGCACCTTAAGAACTTTCCAGGCCTTTAATATGCTCTTCCCAACTCCTTAATCAACAAGCAAAGGAAGAGAAAGTCGGTATTTGGGGACAGTGATTTGGGATACTCTGTTGAGGGGAGTTGCTAAAATACAAGGTAAGCATTTTCAAAACAGCCAAAAGAGAAGTAGCCCAGTTCTTCACTGATCACACCACTTCCTTCTTAAATATAAGCCAGAGCATTCTTATTGTTCTAACACAGATATCTCCGATCTGCCTTTCTGTTAATTGTTTTGTTTCTCTATTCTAATAAGAAATTCTGACAAAGAAAAAGGAGGTTTGTTTTTATGTGATGAATGATAGGACATCTAAATTCCTACTTAATGACAATCAATTTACCATATACTCAGGCAAATTAAAATTCCTTTAATTAGTTTTTACAAAGTAAAAGGGTAGCTTCATCCTTTATTTAGATAAAAACCGCCACTGCCTGACTAAACACATTCTCATCAAATAGGGAAAGTAATGCAGGCTGACCTTCCAAGGATTCTCTCTTATTTTAATTCTTTATTTGCAGATTTTAAATAACTGATTTGCATAATAACACAACCTTTTTTTTCAACAATCGCTAATTGAAATGTGGTTATGATGAATCTGAAATGTAAGCTCTCTATGCTGCAAAGCCAAACAACAGAACCCCTGAAGAAGATGTAACACATTTCTTTTACTTCCCGTGTGGTAATGAGCTTCCCAGTGGAAACCAACAGAATCTTGTGTTCCAATGAAACACACAAAGGTAGTCCTTGGTGGTAAGCAGACTAAGGCTGTAGAGGTTTTACCTCTGTATGAAACAATCACCTTCTTTCTAGTCCAAGACTCAGGACTGAATAACTAGAGCTGACATATGCTCACCCTCTGTCACAGAAGAATCCAAATAGATTGTAGATAGAAAAACATAAGTTAATTGCTGCTACTAGGAAAAACAAACAAAACTCTAAGCAAATGCCCTACTCAAGGTCGTACTGTTGTCCTATTCAAAAGTAGTGGCTTTTGCTGATGTACGACTTGGATGATGCTTTAGGTTCGCTTCAGAACGCCTTGCAAACGGATGTGTCCTTAAAGGATCTGAAGAGATGAGTGCTCTGGAATGCTCTGACAAGAGGTAATTATAGGTTTACTTGTCTATGTATCTACATAAGTGACCCACAAAAATCATTACACACCTAAGGAACCCCAAAATAAGTGATACAACATGCATCAAGTAATCTCATCTTATTCCACTGCTAAGCACTAAAAGTAGTCCCTTCTGATTTGGAAAAAGTTTTCATTTTTTCCAAATAAGCTATTTGGCAACTACTGATAACTTGATAACTATTCTGATCCTCTCATATTTAGCAGCTACAAATGGTTTTAGTGGAATATAATTTTTTTACTGTAAAGAAAACATATGGGGCAAACTAAATCAATTAAGGCAAAAATGTAAAACCAAAACAGGTATTTTTTAAAATTAATTTTTTAAAGCATAAAATCCACGAAACCAAGGCGTGAGTGGGCAAAGTTCATCCATATATCAAATCCATTCCCCCTTATTTTGTTATCAAGAGAATCACGGCAGGAAAAAGTTTCTTGGTTGGGGGAGACAGGGTCTCACTCTGTCACCCAGGCTGGAGTGCAGTGGTGTGACCAAGGTTCACTGCAGCACTGACCTCTTGGGCTCAAGTGATCCTTTAGCCTCAGCCTCCTGAGTAGCGGGGACTACAGGTGCATGCCACTACACCCAACTAATTTTTAATTTTTTGTAGAGATAGATCTCACTATGTCACCTGGGCTGGGATTTTTTAACCAGTTAATATTTATATATCGCTGGCAATTACAATTGCCTGCATCTGCCAGTTCACTGGTATCCTTGAGCTAAACAGGGAGTCCCAGGATGTCCAAATCTGTGGAAGCTTCTAGAAAACCAAGGGAACCAGAGCACCAGTGATAGTTCCACTTTCTCCTCCAGATCAAAAAGTTACACTATCACCTAATCTTTGTATCTTCCTCTCTGTTTCATAAAGTAGCCTTTGTCATTTCCCAAGACTCTAGAAAACAGCCCCGTCACTTACTATCCATAGCATGAAGATATTCCATGTGGATGGCCCCCGTGCCGGCGGTGGCAGCTGAGGGAATAATGTCTGCATAGGGGCTGCGCTGGCCGGTTAGCAGGGCCATCTGATGATAGTATTCTGCTGGGCTGACTCCTGCATGGGGAGCTAGGAGGAGACAAGAAATGTACGGTTACTAGTGAAAGAAGGTCAACTAGAAGTTTCTCTTGAGGCATCTCAGAGTCCATCACACAACCCACATCAGCAATTCCTTTCATGGCTTATTAGAGTAAAGCTCCCTTAACTCAAATTGTGCTCTTACGTCCATTAAACATCTTTTATTTGAAAATAAAACTGAAGGAAAGGAATAGAAAAAAGTGAAATGCATTACAAAGTTTTTGATGTTGGTCTAAGAAATTACCAACAAATCAGAATGACTAAAATGTATGTATGTACATAACCACATTCGCCTCCCCAAATAAAATCATTTTTACATCAAATCGCTGTATGTTTGCATTTCTTACAATAGTAGACAACTTAGAGGACTATGATATCTTTCCAGACATACTTAAAATACTTCTCTAAGCTTTCTGACAAGAGTGTCTGAGTTAACTCTCACTCACATGAGAAGTCAGGGTTTACCAGTATGAAAAAAGGCAGCACAGCTTTAATAACACAACTGAATGATAAGCTACAATTTTGCATTCCATAATTTAAAAGCGCTCTTTTCCTTTTCTTCATTACAAAATCAAAAAGAAAATATACCTATCAATCTGGAGCAATTTACTGCCAAGACTCAGCTTTCTAACAGGATAATAACCGGTTTCCACCTGCCAATTTTCATGCAAAAGCAGCAAGACATTGTAGCAGTTCTGAGGGTGGCCTCCAGACTCACAGAGATCTGGATTTAAACTGGCTCCATGAGGTCGTCAGAAGCAAAAATTAAATTATGTATGTAACATGCTTAGCACATAGCATTCAATCAATAAAAGTTTTACAATTATTATCTAGAAATACCAGCACTCTAGTGATAGGTTTGTGGGTATTTTATATTTGTTTCATATACTTTTTATCCATGATACATGGTAAAGATATAGTTTTAAGGAAAAAAACTTTAGGCCACAAGAGAAATATTCGTCATATTACTTTATTTGATTATATTAACTGGATTCTTGAGAGGCAAGAAAAGGAAGGCAAATCAACCAGTCAAAGAATGTGCTATATATACTCATCATCAAATGCTACGCAAAGCAGATGACAGGAGTACTTTCAGTAGTTTAATGGTATAACTTTCCACTGGCCCAAATAAAGTTCTGCAGGCCAGGCATAATTCCAAGTCCATTGTCAGCTAGCCTCCCTCTCTCTCTCAGTCTATTCTTCTTCTTAGTCATTTCCACCCAACTGCCAAGTACCTGAAGGAGATGACTCTCCAGTTCTTCAAGTGCAAAATAAAATCTGAAGCAGAAAATCTAATTCATATTTGATTTTTATTTTTAAAATGTGAACGTTGGTCAGGCACAGTGGCTCATACCTGTAATCCTAGCACATTGGGAGGTAGAGGTGGGTGGATCGCTTGAGCTCAGGAGTTTGAGACCAGCATGGGCAACGTGGCGAAACGCTATCTCTACAAAAATTATAAAAATTAGCTAGGCATGGTGGTGTGCACCAGTGGTCCCAGTTACTTAAGGGACTGAGGCAGGAAGATGACTTGAACCCAGGAGGTCCGGGGTACAATGAGCTGAGATTGCACCAAGGCAGTCCAGCCTGGGGAACAAAGTGAGACTCTTTCTCAAAGTAAAATAAAATGTCAATCCTGCCCAAAGTGCAAAACTTATTCTTTAGCTACTTATATTACTATTATTAACTAGTAAATTCACTGCACTGAATCAAAAAAAAAAAGTGGCTGTTGCTGAAGGAAAGCTATTTCTGAAAACCCAAGTGAGTGGATGTTTCCTGAGACACTTCATGCAGCTTCTCACCATGCCCACCCAGCCTCAGGAAGGAGTCTACCTAGAGAACGTGCATAGGGCATGGAAGTCACATCAAGCACTGCTCAGTGAAATGAATGTTTCTCTGATGTGGAACAGGCAGTGGTGACTTGTGATCTCTTACAAAGAATTCAGTGCCTGCTACCTGTAATTAATAGGTGATGCAATTCTGGACCTTCATTCAGATTCCAGTGATTACTGGGCATGTGAATTTCTATGTGTGCATGAAATGGAAAATACTTTTCCTGAATCAAAGGACCAGTTTACAAGTTGACACCAGGAGAATACACAGCTCCAATTAAGAAGGGTCATGTGAAAAGTAATGGGGGGACTAATAGAACCAACAGGAATTTGATCCTTGAGAGCCTAAAATGAGCATCAAAAGTACGATAAAGTCTAAGCTCATTTTCTTTCCCAGTACACTTTTCTTCTGGTTTTCACACGGCATGGTCAACGATAGAAAGCAGTTTTCATGTGGCATGGTCAAGGATAGAAAGCAGTTTTCATGTGGCATGGTCAAGGACAGAAAGCATAGGCAATAGCCCTGGACCATGCTGTTTTCTAAGACCTTGCCACTCAGAGTGTGGACCAGGAACCAGCAGCACTGACATCACCAGGTTTTGAGGAGGACAGAATCTCAGGCCCCACCTGTCCCCACCTGATGCAGAATCGCCTTTTATCAGGCTCCCCAGGTGATTCATAGGCACACTAGAGTTTGGGAAGCCCTGCTCTAACAGACACATCTGTACAAATGTGCCTCTCAGACACAGAGAACAGAAAGGTGTTCATCAGAAGGTGAGTAAAACATTCATGTTACACATGCATGTGTGTGAATGGCTACAGGACCAGTCTAATCATATGTGAAGCAGCAGAACAGAACCCCAGTTACCAGCAGGGATTTGGGAATCAGAAAAAATTAGAGTTGAATTCCACCTCTGCCCCTTACTAGCCACGGGATGACTGCGTTGCAAGTAAACCCCACTGCACACTGCTATTCTGACCTGAAAATATATAGATAACAACACCACTGCCAATGAGGTATTACAACACTGAAACGCAATCATGCATGTAAGGCACAGAGTACAGCGCCTGGCACATGGGACGCACTCACTAAACATCAGGTCTACTTTATACACATCCCGAGTGAAGAGCAGGGAGGAGGCTGTGTGATCTCCGGAAGCAGAATCCATCCTAGACTTACCATCTGTAGGGCTCAGCCCACGGGTTGCTGAGATCATGGAGAGCGACGGACTGCTGTGCAAGGAGCGGATATAGTCCATGTACGGATTAATGTAGGGATGTGGAGGGCTGAAGGGAGACTCGGAAGCGGCAGCGGGGTTCCGGTGTGGGGAGATCCTAATGAAGGGCAGGTCCGGATATGTAGGGCTACTAGATAAGGCAGAAGTCCTGGGCACAAAGAAAACCAGACACAAAGGGTATGCATGAGACAAATATCTCCATAGGCAGAGGCTGTCTGTGAAAGAAAATAGGTAAGATTTTAAGTGAATTCAAAGGAGCCTTGTGGAAAAAAATGCAGGCAAATACATTTTAGTACCATTATCTTAAAATCAGCATGATATAATGCAGACAGAACATCGCTATGCAATTCTTTGGGAAAATAAACTGAGCTCTGAGAAACTTCATTGCACTCCAAAACAGTAAAATAAAGGTCAGCCTATGGCTTCTTCCATGAGAAGAAATTCTAAATAACAGGCAACTGGGCTTCAAGTGGTTGCTACAATTGTATTTTCCAATTGACCCAAATATTAATGTCACCATTTAAAACTTACCTCTTACTATCATGGTGTTGCATAAAAATAAGAAAGAAAAGAAAAGACAAAGAGAAACAAAAGAAAAAAGAAAGGGAAAGGAAAGAACAGAACAGAATGAAAGAATACAAGCCCACATTTGTCTGGTCTAGAAGCCTGATCATGCACATGGCAGAGCTGCCTGTAAGGAAGAAGACCCATTGCAAAAATCTGCTTAGAAACGGGAAATCGGTCCCTCTAACGATCCAGGCATATGTCTGTTTAACTTCCAAGGGTCTCGCAGTGGTAAGTAAAATGAGTTTTATGGATCCAGGTGTGAGTGTTTGGAAGGCACCTCCTCCTCTCTGTGCAGCAGCACCTGGAGTCAGCTTTCTGCTCTAGTCCTTTTCCATGAGGCATCCCGATGAGCCACATTCAGTGAGCAGTAGTAACTAAGTGCTCCCGGGTTAGAAAGTTGGGGAAGAATGCGTTTTCGATCAAGTCCCCGCCTCGGTTATAATGGGCTAAGGTAGAATGTAGGCTTTTGGTTATTACAAATAAATTCTAAAACACACCTTGCTACCACGATATCCTGATCGGCTTTTGGAGAGAGATTCCTCAGAATCCCCTCACACCTGCCGCCCCACAGCCACAGCCACACTCTGAGACAGCCACTTCCAGAATGGCCAGTCTGCATAACCTCCTGTACCGCCAAGTTCCTTCTCTAATGGAAAACATTTGGCGTGGATAATCAGGGAACTGGCTCTGACAGGTCAAACACTTGTGCTCCCCCTTTTCCTCATTCACAGAGGGTGCGGCCATAGGAAGGAGAGGCCCTGACAGACAGAGATCAACTGAGAACAGCAAATTCCTCTTCCACCACTGGGTTTGGGAGTGAAATGAAAGGGAGGGGGAAACACATTTTCTCCTCGCAAAGCAAATGCTCACGCACAGCCCGGCCCCCATCACCCTGTCAGAATATAATCTTGGTAGAAGCCAGCTCCACTAAGTGCACAGCGCAGGCACTGAAATAAATGAAATCAAAGATCAGATAATGAATTTTCTCTCAGTAGAAAATAAAAGAAGTTGAAATATGGTGGTGGGGATGGATTTTCTCACTTTCTTCTTCTGATTCTTTTTTCACCTTGAACTAAAAAAACAAAAACAAAAACAAAAGAGGCTTTTTATTTGTTATTCAGACGCTACTTTGGGAAAGCAAAATAAAACTCCAAAGTTTTCTAAATTTACACGTGGGAAGAGTAAGAAATTACCACCAGCAAATAGCTATTTCTTTTCAAAACGGCTTGAGGCTTTCATACGCAATCAGAAATTAGTAAAATGGCTTGTTTAAATAGAGATCAACATAGCCTATTAGTCTTTCCTATTTTAGCTCTTTACTACAAAACAAGTTAGCTTTCTGTTCTTGTTAACTCAGCCCCTAAGCTCCATTTAGACGTGTCTGTCATTAGTTAAATCTTACACCCTGTTTAGATGTGTTTGCTACCTTAGAAGGTACAGGGGATGCTCTAATTCATTCTTTCATTCTTCACAAGAAAGGACAAGCAATCCTTCCAACCTATTCTTAACACAAACTTGTTTATAGATTTCCACTGAGGGACTGGTGCCACCAAATGCAGAAGAGCCATTTCAAGAAAGCCATGAGATGATGCCTCCTGGGTCAGTTTTTGAGATCCAGGAATAACTTGGTCTGAGCAACAGGAACTAAACATCAGGGTGGGCAATGACATTTCTTACTACCTTTTCTTGATTTACTCAAAGATTGAAACCTATTATTTCTCCAAAATTCCAGAGTTGAAAAGAATAGTAAGAATATCCCTAGAGGTCCAAATGCTATTTTGGAGAATTATGCACAGGAAAACTAATCAGCATCTAGAAAAACACAAAAATTATAGAGGCCAGGCTAGGGGTTATCATCAATCCCACAGAAAGCCTAGGAAGCTGTTTTCTCTTTCTT